AACAAAAATAAAACAGAGGAAGAGGAGAAAAAGTGTGCAGCAGTTTTCGCGCCAAAAGTCTTGTTTTCCCGCCAAGTTGGTGCGTGGGACCCGGACGCCATAGAGGGCGGTGCCCGTGCAAGGAGGAAAGCAGCGCAGCGGCAAAGGCGGTGCAATGCGACACTTTGTTGACACCGCATCGTTATTGCGACAGTTTCGACGTGTGCTTTGTCTGATTTCGCTCACACTACTCTCACTCATACACACACACACACACACACACACATACACGGAGGGCGAGGCGTCTCAGTGGCAACGCAAGTAGCAGGGTAAGTGCGAGCAGAAAGATGATATCTTGTTGTACGCGTTTCCGCCACTGTATACCGCGTAAACAACTCGCGCACTATATCACCTGGTGTGTCCATGGCCGGGCAGACAACGATCTTTCGGGAGGCGGGTCACGGCACGGCACGGCACGGCACGGCGCGGCACGGCACGGCACGGCGCGGCTGCAGCGGCCTTGCACAAACTTCTCACCTTCCAACAACCCCGCGAGGGAATCTGTCTGGACGCCCTTATCAAAACGGAAAACCGCGAGGAAGGGAACTCGAGCAGGCGGACTTGGAGTTCCAGCGAGGCGAGCCTGCCGTGTGCAGCCAGCGCGACCTGGGCACAGTGGGCCAGAAGACCGGTGGAGGCGGCCAAAACTCCAGACGCGTTTTGAGCTCCAGAGTCGCTGAACAGGACTCGTACCGACCGTGTGACCCCGCCAATGGATTCCTCGTTCGGAGAGCAATCCATTGGTGGGGTCACACGTTCGGTTCGAGTCCTGTTTAGCGACTCTGGAGCTCAAAACGCGTCTAGAGTTTTGGCCGCCTCCACCGCGCTGCTAGCGGCAAGGTAACGCGAGGTTTACTTCGTGCCGAAAAGCAACCTGTCTCTCTCGCACGCGTGCGGCGTGCCGTGGGAGTGCGAGAGAGACAGAGAGCGGCGGCAGGTCATCGTCCGACACACGGCACTCGCGTACCTGGTCGACACAGTTGCCGCTTTTTTCAGACGGAGTTTCGGAAAACTTCGCCGTCGGAGACTGACACCACCACTCGCAATCGAGTTGCTTTTATTGTAGTTTTCGGAACGAGGGAAAGAAAGGAGCGAGTTTTATATTTCTCTATCGATAACACGAGGCGACGTATAAACCTCGGAGGGGAAACAGAGTCGGTGAATGGAATGGGTCCGTCTCATCGACACCCCTGATGCCTGCGTGCCTCACAGAGATACCGGCACGAAAAAAAGACGAGTGTGAGCGAGACAGAGACAGGTAGAGGCACCGGGGCCGCCGTCCGCACCTTGAGATTACGCTCACATCCGAAGACTTTATTATCATTGGTCCACTGATAAGGCCGCCAAACAACCTCGGATGGGGAAGCCGTGCTTCGCACTCTTAAGTCCTTAAAAAACTGTTTCGAACCTAAGAAGGAAAACTGTCCCCGTTTACAAAGTATTTTAAGCATAAGCTTACGACAGTACGGAGTGTCTTTGTATCTCATAAAAATTATCTCCCAATCCGTTTTTCAACGAGTTTTGCCTCAGCTTTTTAATTTTTTTTCAAAATCGTTTTTTAAGCTGATCTTTCTTTTTGGCAAAGTCCCTCCGGGCCAACAACGGCAACGGGTCAGTATTATTCTCCAAGTGGGCGGGTCCGAGGAGGGAAGGGGGGGAGGGGGGAGGGGAGGGAGGTCCCAGAGGGTGCTCCACGGGGTTCGCATTATGAATGGACCGTGCTAGCGATCCGGCTACTATAGGCACTCGGGTCCAGGCGGCAGAATCCGGCAAGGGGGGGGGAGGGGGGAGGGGGCGGAGGAGGAAGGTCGTCCTTTACGTCCCATGCGGAGTAGCAGCTGCACACGCTCCTGATACCTGTGTGACACTTCCCTCGCTCAATAGACAGCGGCGGCCCACGCTACACGCAAAAAAAAAAAATAAAAAAAAAATTGTGAGTTTTTTTTTTAAAATTTTTGCTGGCTTTGGCTCTGATCCGTCGAAAGGCGCTAATGAGCGCGTGAACCGCGAAGCGACGAGCAAGTAGCGGCGGATGGACATCAGAGAGCCCACCGCACCGTGCTTGTGTCCGTCCGCACGCCTCTTTTTTCGTATCTCTCTCTCTCTCTCTCTCTCTCTCTCTCTCTCTCACGCGAAAGCTTTCCCCGCTCGCACTTGGCGCGCATAAACAGGGCGCTAATGCCGGTTTTGTCCGATGCCTTTCACTCGCCGGTCGGCGCCTTTTGTGAAAGGACCACTACGTGCCGCTGTACCACCTTGGCAAAAAAAATAAAAATTAAAAGAGTGTTGTACCAAAAAATTAAAAAGCGGCTTCCGGGATGGCGAGAGCAAAGTCCGGGATTTGGCGGTGTGGTGGTTGCGGCCGTGCTGGACGCGTCATTGGCTGCAGGCAGGCGGGCAGGGCGGGCAGGGGTTGGACGGGGTTCAAATAGGCCCATTGTCACAGCGAAGCGCCGCGAAGCCCACCGGGATGCCTTTGTGTACACGCGGGGCCCACCACTACACTGTCAACCCCGCCACTGCCAAATCCGACTGCCACGAAGAGTCACCGCACAGTGGGCCAGAAGACCGGCGCAGGCGGCCGAAGCTCTAGACGCGTTTTGAGCTCCAGAGTCGCTAACCAGGGCTCGAACCGAACGTGTGACCCCACCAATGGCCTGCTCTCCGCACGAGGAATCCATTGGTGGAGTCACACGTTCGGTTCGTGCGAGAGAGACTGACGCAACGGTCCGTTGTTGTGATTCGGGGTGGCCACGCCACCCGTTTACATAAAGGCGGCTCTAAGCGAGCGGTTTAGCGGTGTGGCGGCGCGAAGCCATTCCCACATGTAGCGTCACGGATTAGCGGCCGAATTCTATGAGTTTCGCTGCACACACACAGGGAAATCGACCAAAACTATCGGTTTTATAGTTCTTTTCACTAAATCTTAGTGAAAAATTCCGTGAAAAAAATCCACTTTCTTTTTTACAGTGCCGGAAAGATGCACGAGCTGAGTTGTCCCCCGGGCTCGCGCTGCGCATTCCTTTCAAGAAAAGTTGGCGAGAAAACTTGCTTCCCGGCAACAAGTGGCTCCGTCTCGCGTTCCCTCCCCGGCCTTTGCCGGCGCCCCTGGCTCCGGGCTAACAAGGTACCAGTGTACACATCAGCCGTGGGACCCCCTGGCTAACGCTACAAGTTTTCCACATTTTTTTTTTAAATCTCAGAGGTTCGAATCCCATGAAAGTTCTTTTTCGTGGAGTTCTTTCCTGGCCGTGGCCCGGGCCGCGCCGTGAGTGCGAGCGAGACAGACAGACGTCGCCGCTCCGCATCGGCCTGCGGGTGAGACAGAGACAGACAGCTGTTTGCGCGTTCGCCCACAAAGTGACGCGCGGCCCTCAGCGCTCATTACACAATCTCGGAAAGGCAAATACCGTGCCGGCCTCTGCAAATAGCCGAGGACCCATCCCCCTTTCCACCGCCTTCCTCGCAGGTGTAACTCCGAACGCCCCGGGGCCGCCTCGCCGCCCCCTCGCAAACAGAAGAACGCACACAGCCACCTGGCCGACGCTGGGCGCACCGGTGCAGTGTGCACGTCACATGTTCATTGCCGGAGACTCCCAGAAACAAAAGACAACCAAAAGACGCCACAGAGCAAACTCACAGCACACCGCACAGTGGACCGGTGGAGGTGGCCGGAGACTCCAGCCAGAGCGAAATCGCACGCTCCTTCCCAGAAGGCGAAAATTTCATCCCCCGTGATGTGTGTCTGTCGCATCCTCACGCTCGGCGGCGCGCTCTCGTAAACACGCCATTGTCCCTGGAGTGGCCATACTCGTCGCTCCGTCCCTCTCGCACCTCCGGGGCGCCCCGCGAGTGCGAGAGAGAGAGAGACAGCCTGTTGCCGGATTGATGGCCGAGATGGGCATCGCGTTGACGTGCCGACGGCGCGCCGACGGCCTCCTTGTGCTGCCGCGCGGTGCTGCTGCAGATCCCCTTTGAGATTGCTGCCCCGAGTCGCCCTAACTGGATTTCGCACCGCGCCGCCGGCGGGCCGACCCGTCTCGCCGATCGGGGGAAATTAAAGGAAAATAGAGCACAATGCACGTCGAAACAGAAACAAAAATTTTAAATAGAACCGAACGGCGCGGTGCGCAGTGGGCCAGAAGACCGGCGGCCAAAATTCTAGGCGCGTTTTGACCTCCAGACTCGCTAAATGGGACTCGAACCGACCGTGTGACCCCACCAATGGATCGCTCTCCGAACGAGCAATCCATTGGTGGGGTCACACGTTCGGTTCGAGTCCTGTTTAGAGACTCTGGAGCTCAAAACGCGTCTGGAATTTTGGCCGACTGCACCGGTCTTCTGGCCCACTGTGCGGCGTCGCCTGGAGGGAGGGACACTTTCCAGTGTAGGACGCGGTATTGCACCAAACGCGGCACCGACTCGCTGTGTTGCTCCACTACCCTCGTCCGCCGCTGCCACGCCCCGCCCCGCCCCGCCCCGCCCCGCCCCGCCCCGCCCCGCCCCGCCCACGGTTCCAGGAATGCCGCCCTACCTGGAGAGCCACGCCGCGCCACGCGCCCTCCAGCTTCCAGTGCACCGTCATGAAGTCCGCGACGAAACTGGAACTGCAGGGGGCCGCCACTGGCAGTGCTCTCTGTCTCGCCGTCGACTGGGTGCGGAGTCAAATTCGCATAGAGCACGACGCTGGCAGCCCCCGCGAGGGAGAAAGAGACAGAGAGACCCCCATACTCCAGCAGCACAGTGCCAGAACGGAGGCAGCTAGCTAGCCCCGCGCTTTTCCGAGAGAACAACTCCTCACCTTGCCTCGTCTCGAACCTCGCTGTGTTCGCCCTCCGCCAAACGTCTCACTTCAAGTGGGCTTCCGTTCGAACAAGACCTCGCGCGACCGCCCCCCCCCCCCCCCCCCCCCCGCCTTCCTGCTTGACTGCCCCGCCACAAAAGCTCGCCTCTCCACATACCTTAAATCTCGAGGCCATTATCGGTAAGTAGCTGAGCCGGCAAGCCAAGCCGAGGCAAGGCAAGCCAAAGGCGAGCCCCGTGACGCAGTGGCGGCACACTGTGCGACGGCACGGCGGCACCCAGGAGGTGCAGCAACAGGCACCCTCAAAAAAATTTAATTTGAAAAAAAAATGACGCAGTCTGGGGTGGTTTGCCATACAAAAAAAAAAGCCTTTGACGAAATCAACAAGTAAGCAACATGCAAGCAAAAAAAATATTATAAAAACACCGAAAAACAACTCTGAGTGAAATTAAATTTTTCAAGTTGTTAGGCCTGTCCTGATTTAAGGCGCTGCTTTCCCCCGGCCGTGCCTTAGCCTTCCATTCAGACCAAGCATCCATCTATCCATCTCGCTGATTGGGCAGGGCGAGGCCCGCCGCGCGTCAGCGTGGTGCGTTGTGTCGGGGTGTCGCCGCGAGGAGTTGGACCCGAAACGAATTTCTCACCTCGAGAAGCCGAGCCTGAGGGATTGTGCCCGGCCGAGCAGACAACGAAATGCGAGTCCCCGGATCGCCAAATCCGCAGTAGGAGAAGAAGGAAGTCAGTGACAATGAAGTGGAGGGGAAAAAAAGTGAGGCTTCTCATATTATGTTGGGTTTATTTTTATCGAGACGGTTAATTAGAAGCAAGCGTCACGGTACAAGGTGTGGCTCGTTGGCCGTGTCGGCCGGGCGGGGCGGGGCGGGGCAGGACCTCTCTTTGGATTATCCCCAATGTTTAGTGTCGGCGGACACGGCGGCTGAATGGATCGAGGAGTTGTGTGCTCCTCACTGAAAGGACTCCCAGCACACGACGCGCACCTGGGCGGGGCGAGGCGGGGCCGTCCTCCAAGGGCCCCTGCTTCACGGTGACGTGGGTGCAGGGGACGGACACAAGCAGCAGCGGACTGATTCCATGAGTCGTTTTCGTCGCTCTGTCTCTCTCGCACTCATAAGAACGCCCCATGAGTGCGCGAGAGAGACAGAGCAAGGACTCTCTGAATCAGCCCCGTCCACGCGCATCACACTGATAAGAATTTTTTCGTGACGGCAACCGACTCGGTTTCGATCCATCGGGAGGGCTCATAACTCAAAAACGCCGAAAACCACGGGAACGAAAACGGTGATAGAATTTCCAGTGGGTCACCGCCGTAGTTTCCGGCGGCCTCGACATATTTAACACGATTAGCTGCCCGGAGCCAACGATGCCGACGCCGCCGCCCTGGAGGAGGCCCTGGAGAAGCCCTGGAAAAGGCCCTGGAGGCCCTGGAGGAGGCGCGGTAATGGTTCATGACAGTAAGTGGCCTTTTCTCAGCGCGCTGGAGAGGCTAGTGAGCGTGGCCGCGACGGCCGAGTCGTCGCTCTGTCTCTCTCGCACTCATGTGCCGTTCTTACGAGTGCGAGAGAGACAGAGCGACGACTCTCGGAATCAGTCCTGCAGGCCAGCCCGTATCCACCGCGACGGCAATCAAAGTTTTTCCCGGCAGCTTTCCCTCTGCCGCCCTGAAACTTCCATCCATCCCTCCCAAAGCGTCCTCCGTGTACAATGATCCCGGATGTGCCGTGGACGCGACGCAAATGATTCAGACGGGGAAGGGGGGTGGGGGGGGGACGGCTGGCCGACTTGAAACTGATACTGATTAGGCCTTTGTCCCAGGGAAACTCGTCCCGATCCGCCCAGCCAGGCCCGAGGCCAGGCCGCCCCCACCTTGGCCCCCACGCCCGCAGCACCGTCTCGCCAAAGTTACCCGGCACGGACTATGTATACTTCCCCGCTATGAGAAATCCTCGGCGTCCCGGCGCAAACACGTAGACTGTAGTTCGATACCCCGCGCCGGCCCACGATTTTTCACCCCAGACGCGCGGCCCCCGCGGGCTCTGTCTGTCTCTCTCCCACCGCAGGGACGCCCCGCGAGAGCGAGAGAGAAAGGGACAGCTCTGCGGCGGCGGCGCGCTCCAGCCGCTCCAGCCACTCCAGCCGTCCGCGGGGGCCGCAGGGCCGACAGGTACGTTATACGATACCTGGAGAGTCCGGCACGCTGGAGGGGGGCCGCACTGCGGAACTGGAGAACTGGAGCCCGCTTGGAGAAGGACAGCTGGCCGGCCTGGCCGAAAAAAGCGGGAAAAATCCTACCCCCTACAGTGGCGCCGCTGCCTGCGAAAACGCATACAAATCTGCCTCCGCGCGCCTTGGCCTGCCTCTGGCCCTTCTTCCAGTGCAGCAGCGCGCACTCTGGATTATTCATCAGTGCACACGACAATGAGAACGAGGCGCCGGGCTGGCGGGGCTGGCAGGCAGCTGCCGTTGTTGTTGTTGCTATTATTACTTTTGGAAGAAACTCGAGAAGGCGCGCTGGCTGGGTGGCTGGCTGCCTGACTACCCCTTGCATGCAAGGTAAACACAACCCTGTGGCCGCGCAGCCCCCAGCCGCCAGGCCGCCAGGTTCGGCGAGGTTCGGCGAGGAGGACTTCTTTTCAACGTGGAGGTCGGGCAGCACCCCGAACCCAACCACCTTCCCAGATGGAAATTCATCCTACGATTCGGGGTGAAAAACGACTTTGAGTCGTTTTTGGACTGCATCTGCGAATCGAAAATGAGTGAGAAACACACATCACACATGCACACACACACAAGCCTGGGAAAAGGGCAGAGTTTCGACGTTCCGGTAAATTCGTCCGCTTCCACCGAAAAAAAAGGAAAGGGGGCGGCGGCGGGAGGCGAACCAATGGACCATAGGAAGGCAAGGCATGTGTGCAGCAATTAGCCCCCGTGCTGTTTCAGCTGTGCGGTGTTTACGTCTTTGTCTCGCACGCGGCGCGCGTGCCGCCGCCACGACACTGTATTTGTTTGCCTTGTTTACCTCAACATAGCGCGCCCACGTGTGTGTGCGTGTGCGAGTGTGAGGTGCACGGGCTCATGACTGCGTGAGAGTGGTGCGGGTGAGTGGTGGTGGACAGGTCAAGGGAGCAGCGGGAATATTCCAGCGGAAATGAATTCAAATAGGACACACATTTGCACAACGTGCGTAAGAGAGACGAAAAACTTTTTGAAGGGACTTGTTGAAATTTAAGATTTTGTATGTGTGCCGCATGTGGTGGCGACCACACGGGAGGGCATCCCCGACGCACGAACACACACGCGCGCGCGCGCACACACACACACCCACACCCACACACACACCCACACACGCGCACCACACACACACACACACCACACACACACACAACACACACACACACACAGAGTGAGCGGGGCGGCGGCATCTCGCGTACTAGAAGATAATCCAGTCCAGGCCGCGTTCAGCTTCATCTGTTCCAGATGGTGTGGTGGAGCGTCGCTGCCTCCGACTGCCCGCTGCTGTGTGTGTGTGTGTGTGTTCGAAAGGTCCACACGTTCGAGTACTCCACGCGGTCCATATACCCCTTCTCATGACGGCACGCTGAAAGCCCCCGAAATGACAGCATAAACAGTACGACTGGCCTGGCTGGGCTGAGCGGTCTGCCCCCCCCCCCCCCCCCCCCCCCTCCGTCTTGGCTGCCAGCGGCCCGCTGCCGACGGATTTATAGAGCGGGTTATTCCAAGTTTTTGAGGTGGACAGGCGTTTGTGGCAACGGCGCGATTACGTATCATTACACACTGGGAGAAGGTGGGCCCCGTCGGGGGGCGCCGTGGGGCACGCAGGGGCGGCCGGGGCGGCAGCTGGCCAGGTGTGATAGTTACCCGGACGGCCCGTCAACAGTGTACCGGACGGCTGGCCGTCCTAACCAGGGCACGGGCATTACATGACTTATAGTGTGCATCCACGGACAAGCAGACAGGCAGGCAGACAGACGCGGTGGTGCACGGCGCCGTCGTGTTGACAAGGCTTCGGCACTCAACCGCCTCACGGATATTGCCCGCGTTGGACCCGAGGCGCGCGATGCGCGAGCAACTCCAGAGGCGGGGGCGGCGACCAAACGGGGCAACCCTACCGAAGGGGGCGAGGGGCAACCCTAAAAGGGGGTAACCCTACAGGGGCCACGCCATAGGGCTTAACTGCGGTGCGCTACACGTAGTCGGTCTGGGTTATATTCCGGCCGCAAGTAGTAAGCCCTTTTACCCCCAACACCGGTCTGTCTGTCTGTCTGTCTGTCTGTCTGTCTGTCTGTCTGTCTGTCTGTCTGTCTGTCAGCTCGTCTGTGTGTCGGGTCCCCTTGACCTCACGCAGCAGCGCGCCCAGACAGACGCCGCCGTGCCTCGTCTCACCCGTTGCCCCCTCCCCCTCCCCTCCCCTGTCCCCTCCGCGAGGCTATTCCTGTCAACAGAGGGCTCTTCTCGCCACAGCGCCGCAGCCCTTACCACAGCGAGTGTTTTTCCAAAATAGTCGATACACGCGAGCGGACTAAAGACACGGCGACACGCCCCGGCGGCAACCCTGTGGCTCTGTCTCTCTCGCACCCGCGCGACGCAGGCGCGACGCCCCCGCGAGTGCGAGAGAGAAAGGGATAATCAGTGAGCTGCTGGAAACGAGACGGTCCCGCGAGGCCAGTCCGCCTGATAGGCTGAGCGGGACAAATCACTGGCACGGGGTCGCTTCAGAATTGGCCGTCTGCCCCGCCAGCCCCGCCAGCCCCGCCAGCCCCGCCAGCCCCGCCAGCCCCGCCTGCCGCACCTGTCCCCGCGGCCCCGTGCCGCCCCGACCAGTTAGGCGGCGCCCCGCCCGCCCCGTAGTTACCCCCTCGGGGGCCACACTCGCCGTGGGGGGCACGGCCGCGCCACTGTCGGCCAGGCGCGACGCACGCGTTTGATCGAGTGTCCAAACAAACTATATAGCGGTGTAAAAAAAAAGAGTGACAAATTAAATCGACCAAAAACAACAACACATAGAGATATGCATCGCGCGCGCGCGTGGGAGGTCGCATGTTGTTTCCGAAAAATCGACAGCTAAATTATTATTGCGCGCGGTGGTCAAGTGAAAGCGAAATGCAGATCCGTGGTCCGACAGTGGCGGCGCGCGCG